AGGGTGAAGAAGAGGAATGGATACAAAGTAGGCAACCAGTAGTGCCCTGCCCTTTCCCCTCTGCCTTGTCTTGATAGCCTTGTTCTGGCCAAACTTCCAGGTGATTCTTACCGAGGAGCTAGCATGAGGCCAAACAACCAGTTAGGGCAAGAGGCAAACTGAGTGATAACCCCACCTAGGGTAGCTGTGACCCAACTCTTTCCCTTGCTCCAGCCTGGCCCAAGAGTCTCATGCTCTCCACTTGCTGTTGAGCTGGTAACAATATCCAAAGATTGCATCAAGTTGTCTTGGGAATCTCAGCACAACAATCGGTCTGATGAAGCAGTGGTAATCCCCTAGACTTCTCAAGAAGAGACTTGACAGCAGAATTCCAAAGCCACGTGGCAGAGAGAGGGGCACCCAGTGAGGGGAACTGGTATGGGACTTCCGATCTTGGCTCTGCCACCTTTGTGAACTTGGGCAAGGGGAGACCTCTTTGAAACTCAGTTTCTGCATGTGTAACCAAGAAAATCAGACTATTGGCTTCTAGAACTGCTTCTGATTCTAATGCACTGTGATTTGAGAGATTCCCCCAATGGAAAGATTACCTGGGAGTTAAAAGAGAAGATTGGGGTAGAGATTTGTTTAAGTAAAATAAATATAAATAGCCAGACTTAAGAATATAGAAGCCAAGATAAATAAGTATACTTAGGTCCCCTCGGGTAGCTGTCTAAGCTAGGAAAGAACGTTTGCAGCATTCACAATTTCCATATGACTTTTGGCAAAAAATATGAAAGGTCCATTAATAAAGGAGCCACGGGGGCTCGGGAGATTGAAAGTGCAAATGATGAGGCTAACTGTCGGCTTGCCGGGCAGCATCAGGGCCACACAGGTGAGCCTCAAATCAAATGGGAGGGGAATTATGTGGCGAGGGGAAGGGACGAGGAATGGAGAAGAGAGAGCGGAAGATTATGGGTGACAGAGGTCCAGGGGAGAACCTTCCACCGGCTTTCCTAGGCTCCTTCTCAGAGCTCTATGCTCAGTCTAAACTCAGTAGGTTTTTATGGTTAAGCAGGTCTCTTGTGCACTTAGTCCAGCGCAACTCCTCAAGGCTCAGCAAGACCGCAGAAGTGTCCGTTGATCCAAGCCGGGCTTCAGGCCTCCTTACTCGCATGGTCTTTGAGTCACAACTGAGGCTTTGGGACCAGAGGACAGAACGGAGAGGTGTTGGAGCGGGGAGGCAGGAGACCCTGAGGAGGCAGAGGGGCACAATGGCTTCTGCCTGGTTCAAAGCCTCTGCTGAGAAGGGGAGGGGTTGTGGTCTACAGCACCTGCCAGCTTGCAGGTGGGAAGAAAGAAGCCAGAAGATGGGAGACGGAAGGCAAAGAGGAAAGGGAAGGAGAGAGAGTAGGAAGGAGGACGCAAGAAAACCTTGGCTAGGTAGTCGGGCCAGAGAAGGGAACGTGGGGCAAATAGAGCGACCTGGGCTGTTTTACCCCTCAGATTTCCCTTTTAAAAGATTATCCAAAGTTAGCTCACCCAGTTCCCATTACAGGTCTCCTGGCCCAATATGGAGCAAGACGGAAAGAAGGGGGGAAAAGGCATTTCTAACCTATTTTCTGTCCTTGGAGCTCCCGGCTCCTGTTACTCCCCAGTGATGTCATCCGAGCAACCTCTGCTTTCTGAGCACTTGCTAACACATTTCCAGGACCTGGGGGGTACACACACCCTGTTCTCAAAATTTGTGACCCCTGTGTTGAAGGCTGTTAACCACAAGGTCAGCAGTTAAGGCTGACTGCTCTGATAAAGAGTTACAATCTCAGACACCCGAGGGAGCACTTCCACTCTGTTCGCTGTGAGTCGGAACTGACGGGATCAATGGGAGAGGGTTCAGTGGCATTTGCAGTTTACAGGCCGTGAGACAGGATTCCTACCACTCTTCTGCAGAGAAGCTTGCTCACTCCGTGAGGTTAAGTAACATACCCAGCATCCCTCAGCCCCTGAGTGAGAGGCTGGGATCTAGTCTCTGGCCTTAGGGCTGCTAGGTTCAAATTCTCTCCCCTGCACCTAACTGCCTCAGTTACTTACACGTTGGAGTTCAAACAAACCCAAGAGGTCCCTGGATGGCTTTAGAGGGGCTGGTGCCGCAGGGTCCCAGCCATGTGGGAAGAGGATTACAGAAGTCAGCCTGTGGGAGTGTTGTTCCAGCTCTCTCTAGAGCATCTTCAGTTGAGAGAATTGCCTTGGAAGAGGCGAATGAATTTTCAGTAGTGGCTGATCATGCTTCAGTGAGAGATGTGCTTTGTAATGAGGCAGCATGTGGACTTCCTGTCCCCCAATGTCACTCCACAGAAACTTCCACCGGCCTCCCTGAGCTGCCGCCCAGTGCTCTGGCCAGTGTCTCCCTCGCAGTCACTTACTCTCAGCAGGTTTTCATTGTTCAGCGGTCTGTTGTTCATTTCACACAGTAGAGTGTGATCTCTTCCGTAGATGGCACATCCCCTCCACGAGAGAGGCCTTCTGTTCTTCCACTGCTGCCACCTCCGCCCAACACCTCAGCCTTCACTTGCACAAAGACTGTGAGCATCCAGTGAACGCATTAGGTGGTGTGCAGGCTGAGCGTTCCCAGTAGATTGCATGCAACTCTACAAAGAAATATGTCTTAGGGGCCCACCACAGAGCAGGCCAGGGCTAGATTCTGAGAAGGATAGAGAGGTTAAGACCCCGTCTCTTCCTCCCCTAAGGAGTTTGTAGTTTCATCCCAACCTATTGCCATCTAGTCAGTTCTGATGCAGAGAGACCTGTACAACCGAAGAGAACTGCCCTGCACGTGTGTTCCAAGGGTGTCCATCTCACGGAAGCAGACTGGTGGCTGCTGGGTTTAAACTGATGACTGTTCAGTTGCAGCCTAGTGTCTTTGTCTTTTTTGCTTTACATTTTATTTATTTGTGTGTGTGTGTATGTTTGGGTTTTAAAAATAGTTTTGTTAGCATATACTTCACGTGTCATACAACTTAATCAGTCAATCAAATTATGAAGAGTTAGCAGTTATCACCACAATCAATTTAAGAGCACTTTCTTCTCGTCGTCATTGTTATTCATTCCCCATGTCCCCCATCTCCCCAGCCATGCCCCAAGTAATTTTTTTATTATTAAAAGATCCATTTATAAGATCAACCCATACATCAGTTGTATCGAGCGGATTTGTACATATGTTGCCATCATTGTTTTCTAGACAGTTACTTTCTACTTGAGCCCTTGGTATCAGCTCCTCTTTCCCCCGCCCACCCTCATGACCCCTTTATAAATGATAAATTATTACTATGTTCATATCTAAGACCGACCGCTCTCTCCCTTCCTTCATGGTTTCTGTTGTTTGTCCCACTGGGGGATGGGGATGG